AAAAAAGCCGCTGGCAGAAGTGGGCGTGAAGTTGTGGTTCAAACCAGGGCGAAGCCGCATGATGTCAGCCGCATTCCTGAAAAGCCAGGCCGGCCTTCCCTTGTTGTGCAGTGCAGCGATTCGGCGGCAGATGAAATCCACCCCAATAATCTCGAGGGTGAGCCCGGCAACGGTGAGGAGATGGATCCTGGTGGTGGCGACCGTGAGCTTCTCATCCTGGGCGTCGGCATCGCCCTAGTCGTCTCTGCGAACCGGCGGCGCCTGGCGAACCTGGCAAAATTCTTGTGCGTCCTCCTCCTCAATCTAGAACCACCGGCTCCACCACTCCTCCCAGCTCTCCTTCTGAGCACCCTCCGGATATGTCCCCTTCTCCTGAGTCCTTGGGATCCAGGCGACGCAACTGGAGTTGGCGCCTCCCTTCTAGATCCGAGGATAGAAGTAGTGGCGGAAAAGCGCTATGCTGGGATGCACTTCGGCGAAGCCCTCGCAGAGATGGGCGAAAAGGGCCATGCACGCCACGACATTTGGAGTGAAATCCAGAAGGTGGAAGCCATATGTGTCCATGACATCATTGAATAAATAGAAGAAAGGGGGCAGAGGCCGCATGAAAAGTAATCGACGAAGAATGGGTACTGATTCGGGCCGGCCTTGGCGAAATCAGCGGGGATGATGCACGTGGCCGGATGCCCCGTCGTCTCCTGTCCGTCTTGCACCCCCACAGGGGCTTGAAGTTGTCTCGGAGACGGACCGCGTCGATCGTCGAGGGAAAGTAGGCGAGCTGCGTCCGCCACGCCGCAAACTCATTCTCCGGCGGCTCCTTCCCCCGTCATCCTTGGCCAGTCCCTTGCCTTTGCTGGTTTTCGGTGCCATGGCTGCCGCAAGAGGTGAAAGATGAAGGACGGCGAAGACGCGGAGGCGGCGAGCGAAAGCAAAAGCTTGAGAAGGAAGAAGAAGGGGACAGTAGTTCCGAGATTGGAGAAGGCAGATAGGGTAAATGAGCAGCGCACCCACGGTTATTCCTTTTTACAGGGAAGGCGCGGGCCGCCTCATTACCATTTTCTGCGACATGACGCATGTGTGCGGGAACCGCCCCACACATGACCCCCACGTCGCACGTTCAACACGGGTCGTGGGGAAGCGCAGCGGACGGAAAAGTTACTACAGTAAAAATCCGCCCTGCCTGCCCGCGCACCGTTCTAGGCCTAGCCCAACAACGCGTCGCGCTTATGTGTGGCCCAGGCCTGGGGGCTCCTGTCGGTGTACAAAAGTAGGGGCTCTTCTTTGTACCCCTTTACTTGTGCACCGGCTGTCAGAGCCGTGGCCGCGACCGCACTGAGCAGGACAGAGGAGGGAAGCCGGAGCACAAGACAAACGAAGACATAAAGAGCAAGAGGACGAGGTGGACTCCCCCGGCAAAACCCTTGCCGGGGCAGCCTCTGCAGCCCCGGCAAGAGCCTTGCCGGGGCAACTTGCCCAATGCCAGCAGAGCACGCAGCCCTTGAGCCAAGGGGTTCCAACACCATCAACCACATCGGAACCAAGGCTCGGGAGGCACCTCCATGGTGGCATGTAGATCTGTGTGGAGATCATAAATATACAAGATCAGATGAGAACCAGAAGACGACGATCCTTGGCCAGATCCTTACCAAGGAAATCCACGAGACCCCCGGCAAGGATCTTGCCAGGGACGACCGCGGTGCCATGGCAAGACCCTTGCCGGGTCCCCGGCAAGAACCTTCCCGAGGACATCTGTGCGGCCGCAGTCAGGCCCATGTCTGCCAAGGCTCCACCGACGCTCCCATGCAACTGCTAGCTCAACCAGCTGGGCAGGCATCTGCGTGGCAGTGTGCGGCCTCCACACCGACTCAGCAAGCACCTGCGTGGTGGCATGCAGATCTTCGTGAAGACTCTGCCACCACGCCAGCCCAGCAGCCAGCCGACGTGGCGCTACAACGCCTCGTCAACTCGGACGCGCCTCGAAGCCAGGAGAGGCGGCGACAGCTGGGATGAGCTTGTCCGACGGTGCCAGAGGATAGACTCAGCCACAATACACCTTTCCACCTCTTGTGTGCCACTGTGGCGACCCCTTTTTGGCTATAAAAGAAGGCCCGAGGCGTACTGGAGGGGGATTCGGATCTTTGGAACTAGACACACACTGTAGCTAGTTCAAGAACTTAAGAACACTCAAATATACATCAAAGCAGGACTAGGGTATTACGCGTCTCCGCGGCCCGAACCTGGGTAAACGATCCTTGTGCTGACCGCCAGACCCGCTCTTTGCACAACCCCGCTCCCGCCAACCATTGAAGGGATCCCAGTGATTCCATAGGTGTCGTTTCCACCGACAGCAACGTGCAAGATGTTAGCTTCTACTTCCTTCGTCCCAAAGTAAGTGTCGCTGATTTAGTACAATGTTAATACAATTTTGTACTAAATCAACGATACTTATTTTGGTATGTGGGAATTTATAATAAGTAGGTGATGCCATTTTCAAACACACGCGGTCGACACAATCAAGTACATGCAATACCTTTTCTATTTCCTAGCACATGCAATCCACATCATCAAGAACGCTACAAGCTCTCTACAACATACTTTTTCTATTTCTTTTCTCAACAACAAATAATTTGATTGAAGCATAAGGTCATGAGATACCATAACGTTCTGGAATCCTCCACATACTAATAGGTATGCCACTGTTAATATAGCGAGAATGTGCAGTGATATTATTCTCATATAGTCCAATTTTATCTTAATAAGTTCGTTGTTGTAAATTCTTCAATACAAAATATTGTTGTTGATGGGCACACAATACCTTGAAAAATTAACACCAGAAAGACCGGAATAAATCAAGAATATGTGGACACACGTGCCATATCTAGGACTTGAATCTAGATGGGTAGGTTTCCCCATAAGAAATCTAATTGTGTGAGCTATCTCAGTTCACAAATTCTACAATATGTGTGGTGTCATCTCGTACTTAGGGCATCTCAAACGAAGACCCTCAAAGCTCTAGTATATGTCCGGGTTGTAGTGTCCGGCCGTTTGTGTCAACTGTTGTCAACCAATGGGTACCTCATCGGCTGGCGAAGTGGTCCGTATTCACTTCTGGAAAACTAGAGACAAACATGGAGGAGCTATACCAGTGCCAGTCATCCACTGGACCAACAAAAAGCCACCACGTGATCCTCCTCTCTTTTCTCTCACTGCAAATGAACGGTCCTCTCTCCTCTCTCTCCTCCAAACCGTACAAGGGCATGAACTATGGTGCCATATGGTTACATATGCCCATGAGAAAAAGTAGTTTGGGGCACCTACATTGATGTTTTCTCTCCAATGCAAGCTATCACTAGTGGGCTTCATTAAGGAATGGAAAATAAAGATTCTAGTCGACATGCTTCTCTACTCTTCACTCCAACTTTTTTAGCTTTTTACACTGGGCAGAGGATCCCGCTTCCCCATCCGAACCTACTTTTTCTGACATCCGATCATACATGGCATGTGAGTCATTACCCTGGGGCTATGCATTGGCCATGCCCTAAATAAGGATTAATTTGTGAAAACGGTTGGATGACTCTCTCCCGCATCATGTTGGCGGACCGCGTCTGGACATAAAAACGGACATATACGGGAGCCATTTGCGGGCCAGCTTTGGAGATGCCCATACAATGCATAGTCAAAATAGTAACCATGCACATAGGGACCCACTAGGGAGCGAAATGAATAGATATGTACAATTAATAATACTATAAGAAAGATAACACATTTGCATATCTATGACATAATTGCTTTGTAGCAGGTTGCATTAAATATAATATGGTAGTACAACTAGAACAAGAAGTATTTTCGTTAAAAAAATAGAACAAGAAGTATTTTCGTTAAAAAAATAGAACAAGAAGTACGTCAGAACTATAGGAAATTTATGCCCTCTAAATGTGTACGGTGACGTAACCTCTTATTGTTATGAGTCACTTAGAGTGTGCACAGTATCGAAGTTATTTCAGTTGAGAGCATGGACTTTGTTCTTATTCTCCCGTTTGTGCTTAATGAAGTTCTAACTTTTCTTTAAAAAGCCAGTTGCGCGCAGCACCACCGTCTCCATGGTGAAACCTGGTCCAAATCCCACCATGGCCCCCCCAGTCTGCTGGTTCTCCTTCCTCCATTCGGCGCCGGAGCTCATCAAGGACGAAGATCAAGGTGGCACTGAACATGTTCCCGTAGTTTTGTAGAATTATTCGGCTTGCTGCTAGCTTTGTGGGCGCCAACTTGAGGGTCTCGTCGATTTGGTCCAACATCAAACGGCTGCCTGGGTGCACTGCCCAGAAGAGGTCATTCCAGTCGACGATCAAGCCAGTTGGACCAAATGCTTCCATCAGACATTGTTCGATGTTTTGTGCCACCACTTGGGTCAGTTTGGTGGAAACTTTGCCATGATAGCCGTAGCTCCCTATCCTCAGGGTGAGCATATGCTCGGTTCTGGGAACGACGGTCTGGGAAACTGACACCAACTCAAACAACGCCTGCTCGACCGGGTGAACGGGATCCGCGCCGATGATAACCACACCGGCCCCATCACCGAACAGTGCATGAGTAATGAGGGCGTCTAAGCTCTCGCCTTCGCCAGGGCTAAAGAGGCCAGCAATGGAGAGCTCCACGCATACAACGAGGACGCGTGCGCCATGGTTGTTCTCAGCGAGGTCCTTGGCCAGACGCAATGTTGCGCAGCCAGCGGAGCAGCCGGTAAGCTGGAGCATCGTACCGCGGACATTGGTGCGAAGGCCAAGGAGTGAAACCAAGCATACGTCGACACTTGGGGCGCCGACATCGTTGGAACTGACTACGACGTGGGTTATGTCAGTGGCCGGACGGCCCCACTTTGCGATGGCCTTCCTTGCGGCTGATGCCGCCAGCTGTAGAGCAGCCTTGGCCACGATATCCTGCCGAGCCTCGAGGGAAGGCGACGTGCGGTCCAGCAACTCTGGGTGGGAGTTGAGTAGTTCCTACGAGTGGTAAAAGAAACGATTCTCCAGGCCCGTTAGACCACCTGAATAATTTTAGGCAGCAAAATGATGAGTTATGCCTGATCATATGTACGTATATCCTTACATATTAAAGTACAGTGATTATTACAATATGTATGCGTGCTTACATATTATCTTGAATGTGTCTTTGCGGTCAGTAAGGTGCTCGCTCTTGGTAACACGGAAATAGTAGTCAGGGTACTCTTCCTGGGACACTTGGTTGGCTGGGTTTGCGGTTCCAATAGCCAGCACGGCGGCGGAGCCTTCCTTACGCTGCGCACACCGGATCTCGCTGACCTTCGGTGACCAGCTTTCTGAGGTCATGGTCTCCGAGTAGTGACCTGCTACAAATATCAGGAGGTGAGGATATTAGGGAGGTACTGCATATTTTCGGCATCAATATGATTTCGCCTAGTTCTATTCTTCCGGAGCTCGGCAAAGTAATGTGTCTGTTGAGTTTTCCGATAATTGTACTCGGCAGTGACACGAAACTCGGAAACTCAACCGTTTGCATTGTGCAAGCAAAAATGTACTCGACAGTATTACATTATCATTGAGTTCCAGTAGGAATAAACTTGGCAATATCTTACAAGTGGGCCCCACGAATGTCTAGGCAACGGTGAGCTAACGGCCGTCCATGTTTGGCGGATTTCTACTAATGAAAACTTGGCCATCTTTTTGTGTTTTTCTTCTTTTTAATTAAGAAATTCAAGGGGTCACATATATGCCGAGCAGCCGTGCCAAAAAACATGGCAAACAACTGACAAACGGGCCCAGGGTATACACATCAACAGCTATTCGACGGTTGGGCTTACTATGGCGTTCCAAAACATGGCACAGGGCAAACTCTTTGTCTCCTTCGCAAATATTAAATGTGGGATGTAACTATCATCTCAAATGATTATACAAAATCATGAAAAACTACATGAAAGCAAGAATACAATTCATCTTTCCCTTTTCTCAACACGGGGTCCAATTACAATATTTTTATTTAATTTCAAGATAGATAAAATGTTGTGTCGATGAAATCTAGCAATCTCTATCACATTTCGAGTGCACCACGAAACTTAATTTATCTAGTGCGCACTATAGAGGCAGGGCTAAGACACTACTAGAATCGTGTACTTTGTCGTGTGCACTTTTCTATGAGTCAAATGCACTCCCAAATAATTCTTTTTTGTATTCCCTTTTTCTATTCCTTTCTTATCTTATATTTTTCCTTTTCTTTATTTCACAATTCCCTTTTTTTCTTTTTATTTATTTTTTCCCGTCCTTTCATAATTATTTTATTTTGTCTCCTTTCGCTATTTAAGGCATAACAAAGGCTAAAGAAAACAAAGATAATTTTTGCATCAATATCTGGACAATATTTGAAGTACTTGCAAATTCAAATTTGAATTTTAGGCATCAGAAGCATTGAAATGCACTTCAAATTTCCAAACCAAGTCTAAAACATGACAAATTTTGACATGAAAGATGTTACGGTATATGTTCAGTGCATGAAAAGTTTCAAGGCTAACTGACTGAGTAACCATCAGACTGCCTTCAAACCTGACTCATTCCATTGCGAAACCACGATTCTTCCTCAAAGTAGTTCGGTTTTCCAGACTTCAAAATTTTACCACAAAAACCTAGTGTGACATCATGACACGATGCTAATTTCTTATTTTCCAGACTTCGTGTGCATTAATTTAAATTGAAAACCCAATAAGATCAATATTGGCACCCTAATGTTTGAATTTCTTTTGCTTTTGTCTGATAGCACATGAGGAGAAGCAAGAACACAAATATGATTTTTCAAATCATTTTTGTCAAGTCACAGTCAAATATGAATTATATATATTAAACACATAAAAGAGAGAGGAAAAGAAAAGAAAAGAAAATAAGATATCCTTTGGCTAGTATATAAAATAATCGGCAAATAAGGGTTATCGTTCAGTGTTTCTTATTTCCCGATTGTAAAACTAGCCAAAGAGCTTGTATAATGACTCGCTTAGTTGTAGGGTATACTTTCCTGAACACCCTACAAGGTTATTTTTGTGAGTGCCCAAGAAAAAAACTCAGAAAAAATGGCAACACTAGGTAAAGAGTGTGATTCTAGTATTGATCACCTAAAATTGCACACTGCAAAGTACTCCCTCTGTCCCAAAAACTTG